GCCCGGGCGGCGCGGACGCCGTGCAGACGGTGACTGGAGGCCTGCGCTCGCTCTACCTGCGCAAGGTGCTGCCACTGGAGGAGGCGTACCGCTTCCACGAGTTCCACTCGCCCGCGCTGGAGGACGCCGACTTCGAGAACAAGCCCATGATCCTGCTGGTGGGCCAGTACAGCACGGGCAAGACCACCTTCATCAGGTAACCCTCGACCCCTGTCCCCCACCACCTAGGTGGAGGCGGTCCTGCCCACGTGTGTGCGTGTTGTCCACAACATACGGCCGCCCTCGGGCTTCCTGCAGCTCCCGCTCCTCCTTGAGAAACCCTTTCGCCGCTGCTTCCTCCTCCAGCATCGGCGTGACCTCAGGTTCCCCGTCCGAGCGCGGTGTCAGAAGCCCCGCCTGGGGCGCGGCCGCCAGAGTGGGGCTGGCTGTCCCTATGAGGCCAGACGGGTCCTCGGAACCCCTTCTCCGTGTATTCCGAGCTCTCCTTCCTTTCTATTGGAAAGGCACTCCTCTGACTGGCTTTATTTTGTCATCCTAGCCAGGGGACCCGGGGAGGGGAGGGGAAGCGAGGCTATAATAAGCACCTTCTTGATGAGCGAATGAGGCCTAGGGCTGGAAATGGGGACGGAGGTGTGAGATACTGGAATGGGCTGAGTCAAAGTTGGAAAGTTAAGCCCTCGCACATTGTTCAGCGTATAACTGTTTATAGAATGAATGAATGAATGAATGTTAACAGTAGAGGGTATTGCCCACGCCCCCTTCCCTTGAGGTCCTTCCTTGCTGCCCCCCACCGCAGTGTGCGGGGGTGGGGTAGGGGCAGAGTAGAGAGGCCGCCTTCATTCAGCGGTTCACAGCCTCCCTTTATCCTGCCACAGGAAGTTAGCTGTGTGTAGCAGCCACACTAGCCAGCGCCCAGTGGAACTAAGGGGGAGTGTCATATTACTATTCGTTAGTTTCCATTTCTTAGATGGCTCATTCCCTCCTCGCTCACCCTTAACGACTGAAAATATTTGTCATTCTCCCTGTGTCTCCAAAAGCAAGCAAAAGCATGCCTTGACGTTCACATCGCATTGCTC